GAAAATATGGATGGAGGACAACAGAGCTGCTTCATGGAAGAAGAACCTCAACTTAGCCTGTTAGCTTTAGCGTTAGCCCCGATGCTATCACCATATACATGTATTAGCTCGGTGCTACACATTCTCCTCTCTTCACTGAGATCCTCCATCAACATGACAGAGAGGGGGAACGCAAAAATGACTCAGGCTGCAACTGAAAATATGGATGGAGGACCTCAGTTTAGCTTGTTAGTTTGTCGGGCTATCGCTGAGCTAATACATATAAGACAATATAGTGTCGGCGGTAGCGCAAAGGCTAACAGGCTAAGTTGAGGTTCTTCTTCCATGAAGCAGCTCTGTTGTCCTCCATCCATCCACATCTTCAGTTCCAGGCTGAGTCATTTCTACCTTCTCCTCTCCGTCAACGCTCTCTGTTTCATTTAAAAGAGCCGATCGTCAGATATTGTCCAAGATTAACCTTCAGGGTGGATATAGCTCGCTCACACCAAGGACCTATCCATGTCATCATTTACCCAGAATGCTTTGTGTGTAAATAAAATGGCTCCATCCGTGTAATATATTTTTAAAAATTTACAAAACTAAACATCCTATAATATTTTTACAATCTTTATTTTAAAATTTTTTTTAAAATGTTTATCAAATAAAGTCTAATGTTAAAATTAATCATGGATCCCTTTAAATGTAACTTTAGGTTTGATGAGCTCCTCTCTAACAGCTACTCTCAAAGGTTATTGCTGATGTGTTTCATCTTTGGAAAACTGACAAACTGCTGTTTTTAATCAAGGCACTCACACCTACTGACAGTCAGACTTCTCTGTTCTAACCTGTAGAAGCTGTAAGGGTGAACTTAGTTTTTCAGACACAGATTTGTCATTTTGACTTTGTTTTTCTTTAATAAATAATGACACTGTGTGTGTGTTTTAGATTATTTGGGATCTGGTAAAGATCCTAATCTCTTTCCCCTAATTTACACTATATGCAGTTCTGGGACCTCATGTAAAAATGGTGCGTACGCATAAAAAAGTTGAAGGTCAATTAAATTACAAAATGTGAGGTAAAGCTCTCCTTTTTTAATTTAAAATGGCTCATTTTTAATTGTATTTATTTATTTAGCTGTCTGTCCGTATGTGTGTGTATGTATGTATGTATGTATGTA